TTTTTTTTTTTTTTTTTTTTTTTTTTTTTTTTTGATCTACAGAAGACCACCTCCGTGAACATGTTGATGTTCCACACCTCCGCCAATTTCTCCGTGATAACCACTATTTACACCGCCTCCAATTCCTCCTTCACAGCCGCCACTGCCGCCGCTATGAACCCCTGATCTAATTCCGCCTTGAATACCTTGGTCATTATTCATTTCAGCTCCATTTCCGATTCCACCGCTGTTTGCAGCTCCACTTGAAAGAATTCTGTTCACAACCTATTAATATAGCGACAGTCAATATATAGTAAATAAACACAAGTTCAAACTGCCTTTGCATTTTACACAACAGCATGGCACAGTAAGGCAACAAAAACCTCACGAGCAAGTTGAATAACGCTTACTTTGGATGTGCACAAGTAGAGAAGTTTTTAACGCGTATGGATTCTAATACCGTAAAAAATCTTGATAAGGTATTCTAATGGAAGTTTTAGAAAAAGAATTAGCATATAATGGAAGTTAGAATTATAAAGAGATTCTGACTTGGGAAATTGCATAGGTCCTGAATGCATAGAATACATTCGCCATTGTAGAATTGCATTGCGGTGCAGCTTTCTGTGCATCCGAGTCGGATAACTAGAAATTGCTTCTTAGTTTAGTGGAATTCCCAGGTCTACTTCAAAGATTATCAAAAGGAGTGGAAAGCAAATAACGGATTAAAAACTTATATAACATATTTTCCAGACTTCTTTCTTCACGTTTCAGCGTATAACGTGCTTCTCCAGATTTGCAGTGCTTATTAATTGAATTCAAACAATGAGAAGGTCCCACGCAAGAATAGCACGGACGTAGGCAAACTAAAATTTTTTGAGAGGTCACCAATACTGACGATTTAACGTAATTACCACTCTTGATAGCTCCTCTCTCCATAAAATGGCAGTTCTGTCATATTTACACTGAAAAGTCTTTCTACTGCTTTATAAAAAGTTTTTCCTTTTTTTTTTTGATCCTCTATAAAAGGCCATCTATTTTCACGTGTCGATATACCACTCCTTAATGATAACCATTATGTGCACCGCCTTTGATACCTTCTTCTTATCCGTCACTGCCGCCGCTATGAACCCCTGATTCAATTCCGCTTTGAATACTTCGGTCATCATCCATTCCAGCTCCACCTCCAATCTCTTTGCCGATCCCTCCGCGGTTTGGAATTTCATCTGTAAAATTCTTACAAAATAAGCCCACTCGGCGAATTTCAACGAACAGGCTTTGCAGTTCAGAACTTTTCAATATACTGCGCTTCATTACATCAAAATAAGCATAAGTTTGAACAGCCATTGCATTCCACAGATTATGATGGTACAGTAGCGCAACAGAAACCTCAAGTCGAATAACGTTTACTTTGGATGTGCACTAGTATAGAAATAAGCTGAGTGAAGTGAGATTCACTTTTTAAGGGGTTTCTAACACGTATGGATTCAGATACTGTAGAGAAGTTTGATGAAGTATTCTAATGGAAGAGTTTTAGAATAAAAAATTAGCATTCAATAGAAATTAAAGAGATTCTGACTTGGGACATTGCATAGGCCCTGACTGCATAGAACACATTCACCAGTGTCGAATGTGGTGCAGCTTTCTGTGCATCCGAGTCGGATAACTAGAAATTGTATCTTATTTTGGTGAAATTCCCAAGTCTGCTTAAAAAGTTATCAAAAGAAGGGGAGTGCAAATAACAATGTGTAAACTTATATAACGTTTTATCCAGACTTCTTCCTTCATCTTTCAGCGTATAACATGATGCTTGAAAAGGGCAGAACTCCTTAGTCGGATTGAGACAATTGAAATTATCCAAGCAAGAATAGCACTGAAGACTGGAAACTAAAATTTTTCACGAGGTCACCCAAATTGACGATTTAATATAATTGTTTAAAACTACATGTTTCCAATTACCTTTTATTATCGTTACTAACTACAAAACTGTCATTACTGCACTGAGCAATCATAGCTGAATTAAAGCTAAGGAATGGTTTGTTTTGTTTGATAGCCCCTCTACATAAAACCATAGTTTTTTCATGTTTACAGAACCCAAAACAATTGTTAACAAAAGATCAGTGTTTTGTTACTTAAATAATGTGTTGAAAATGCTTATGGAAATATGTCTGGATCTCACAGAGTTCAAAAAGAAACAAATGGAAAGACTTGCCCAAAACAATAGAACACAGAGCTAAAATCAAGCAGCGGAACATCTGGAATTTGACAGTAGGAAGAATGTTGCAGACGTTGTGGATGCAGGAGTGGTTTTTGTAAAACAACAATTTTAGTGCCACGAGCAGTAAAGAAGCGATTGCAGACTATTACAATTTATAAGCAAGTGGAGCTCTTATCAGCGACTTCTGATGGTTGTATTTTGGACACAATCGTTGTTCAAGAAATTTGCTAATTGATTTTGTCCCATTTCCTTTTTTTTTTCTTTTTTTTTTGCAAAAGAATTATTTCTGGTGAAAATGAACTGTTGTTGTATGGCGATAACGCTGTACCGGATTGACTCTTAGATTTGCGCACTGAGCATTTTTTATGCCGGTTCCTGGCTAGACCAAAGTAGTAGGAAAAAGATGTGCAATAGTTCCCAGGTGTATCTCTAAGTCTCTTCCAGCAGTACGGTGGAGCTCAGCAGTTTGAAGTTTTGTCTAAAGAAGTTTACTGAGAATTGAGAGTGAAGTTTTTAAAATGTAATGGATAGCATTTTTTGATGTTTCTAAAGTTACTTTTTGGGATCTTTCAGTACCAGTTTTCCAAAGTTTTAAAGAAACAAAACCATGCATGCTTTTTAACTACTATCAAATTCACGCCACCTTTAATTTGTTTTTGTTCTTCTCCGTCATTATGATTTTATAAAGCGTGCTTCGCAAAGACCTACTACTGAAAAGTTTAGGTACGCGTCAGAAATTTCATTAAAAAATTTTTCATGGGTTGTTCGCCCTCATCCAGCCATTCTGAAAATGTTGTGCCAGAAACAGACTGTCAGAGGGAGAGACGGAAAGCCATTTGGTCGATAATTAGCAGCTTTTCTAAAGGAACCTTGATGGTTCCAAGAGTTGGAGAGAAGGTAGTGGACTGCAGAAGGGCCAAACGAAGTGACGACGACAGCAGTGATATCAGGGATGAGGCGCATCAAGCTTACTCAATGAGGCAAAAAGACGTGCAGCTGGATCGAAAAAAATTGGACCGCAAGGCTGATAAGACTTTAGTTTTTCCAGCACGTCTTCTGTTCTTCAGTTTCAGGTCTCTTCAGCGGAGATGTCGCTCGTGATTCTTCGTAGGGTTGGCAGTGAGAGCTCTTTTAAG